CCCTCCCCAGGCTTCCCACTGTAGTTTAACATTCTGTTCAATGTTGCTCTGCTTCTGTATCTACCCCTGTTCATCAGTCCATACTGGTCCCCTTTATTTGTCCCAACCTCACTGGAGTAGTCTCAACCTCACCAGGGACGTCTGAGCCTCACCAGGGCCGTTTCAACCTCACCGGGGCCGTCCCGACCTCACCAGGGCCGTTTCAACCTCACCGGGGTTGTCCCTACCACACCGGGGCCGTTTCAACCTGACCGGGGTTGTCCCTACCACACCGGGGCCGTTTCGACCTGACCGGGGCCGTCCCTACCTCACGGGGGCCGTTTCAACCTCACCGGGGTCGTCCCTACCTCACGGGGGCCGTTTCAACCTCACCGGGGTCGTCCCTACCTCACGGGGGCCGTTTTAACCTCACCGGGGTCGTCCCTACCACACCGGGGCCGTTTCAACCTCACCAGGGTCGTCCCTACCACACTGGGGCCGTTTCAACCTCACCAGGGGTTGTCCCTACCACACCGGGGCCCGTTTCGACCTCACCGGGGTCGTCCCTACCTCACGGGGGCCGTTTCAACCTCACCGGGGCCGTTTCAACCTCACCGGGGCCATCCCGACCTCACCGGGGCCATCCCAGCCTTACCGGGGAAACAGGAAGTTTGGCCCTCTGTCCCCTGCCGGCGCTCCCCACCAGACAAAATCTCCAGGCGTTCCTGGTGGTTGAACATCCAGCACTCCTGCCCTCCACCAAGTGCACAGACTGCCTGTCTGCTGTCCCCCAGCGCCCCACAAGAGACTGGGACCAGTGGGCATGTTTGTGCGCTTGCTGGTACAGCAGTTCCACAGTGCCGGCCCAGTCAGGCCCAGCCCTGGCTGGCTCCGGACCCGACTCTGCCCTCCGATTGCGTCCCTCCCAGATGCAAGGAGCTGAAATCTGCAGCCTGCTGGGATGGGCTCTGTACTTGGTGCCTCTGCACATCCTACTCAGTCTCAATGCGCTTCTTTCTATGCAAGGAGTTGAAATCTGCAGTTTGTTGGGTTGGGCTCTGTACTTGGTGTCACATCCTACTCAGTCTCAATGTTCTTTCTCTCCTTCCAGTTGTAGAGCTTCCACTGGGCCAACTTTCCCATGGTTCTGTATGATAGGTGTTTGTCTGATATTTGGTAGTTTCGATGTTGTTGTGTGAGGTAGCATGCACAGGTCTCTTCCTTATGCCGCCATCCTGGTTCTCCTGGGTCTGCTTCTTGAGTGTGTCTCCCATGGCTGCGAGCAGTTGAAGTCTGCAATTTGTTGGGATAGGCTGCAAAAGCGCAGGTGGGTCTTTTTGTGCACCTGGCACAGCTTGGATGGGGATGTAAATTGATTAGGGCTGAGTCTCAGGGAGTCGCCATGGTGGAGCAAATAGCACTGGCTGAGTCTCCGCGGCCCCTTGAATCTCTGCCAGGGCTTTGTGTCCCCCAGTGCCGGCG